GTCTCCTAGTCCCACTTATCTTGTTTTCCTATTGGCCATCAGGGCTTTATTCATTAACCAATAAAAAAAAAAAAAAAAAAACATTTACAGAATGATATCTCCCATCATGTAGGTGTCCAAGAGCCATGTTGATTTGGGTCACCTATGCTGCCATCCAGGGTCACGGTGTCATCTTGGCCCAGGCTGCTGCTGAGGGCCATGCCTGATCATGGCCCTGCAGCCACAGTATGAATCGATGTCTGTGGTTCCTGTTGCAACCAAGGGCTATGAGGTTTCCTATGGTCTAACTGGCCACCTGGAACCATATTGGTACCCAGGGACCATGTTGCATCCAAGGCCATACAGATCTAAGTGGCACATACTGCTATCCAGTGCTATGATGACTTCTGTGCCAGAGCTACAGCTGGGGGTCATGTCCAGATCCATGACCCTACTGCAGCCAGGGTCTGTCTTGATGTCTGTGGCTCTTGTTGCCATGAAATCCATGTGGATTCCTGGGGTCTGGGCTGCCACCTGGGGCCATGTTGGTGTCCGAGGGCCACGCAGCTGCTGAGGCCGTGATGGTCTGGGTAGCCTGTGCCATCACCTGGGGCCATGTTGATGTCTAGTCCCAGGCTTCTGCCACCAAAGCTGCTGCCGAGGACCATGTCTGGGTCATACCACAGCCAGAGTCTGTGTTGAAGTCTGTGGCCCATATTGCCACTGAGTGTCATGTGGATGCCCAGGGTCAGGTCAGCTACCTGAGTCGATTCCCTCTTCTAGTTTCAGTGGGCCACTGCATACAAGTTGTGTACAAATATACATGTAGGCAAAACTCATTTACACATAAAAAAATAAGGGGCTGTAGAGATGGCTTAGCACTGAGTTCTTCCACGGGACCCAGGTTTAGGTCCCACAACCCACATGACAACTCACAGCCATCTGTAACTTCAGTTTTAGGGGATCTGACACCCTTTTCTAGCCTCCATGGACATTGCAAATACATGGTATACAACAAACCATGGTCTGCAACATAGTGTAAAAAAACATTCATGCCACTAAATGGTGGCCCACACCTTTAATCCCAACACTTGGGAGGCAGAGGCAGGCGGATCTCTGAGAATTCGAGGCCAGCCTGGCCTACAGAGTAAGTTCCAGAACAGCTAGGGCTATACAGTGAAACCCTGTCTTGAGCCCCCCCCTCAAAAAAATTCATATAAAACAAAAATAAAATCTCAAAAATAAATTTTAAAAATGTTAATGTTTTAAAAAAGGTAGAAGAACAATCAAGGAAGATTCCTAACATCAACCCCATACTTCTACATGCACATGAACACATGTACACTGATACCCAAGCACATACATACACACATACACATACCACACAAATACATGAAAAAGGGAATAAAAGGAAGTTCACAAACATCTTTCACCAAATGCTGTAGTTTATCTTATCTCTCTAAAACTCATGTTGAGATTTAACTGGCATTTCAATGACATTGGGATATAGAATCTTTAAGAAATATTTAGGTTATGAATACAGAACCCTTCTAAAAGGATTAATGTCTTTCTAGAGCAGTTCTCAACCTTCCTAATACTGTAACACTTTAATATAGTTCCTCATAAACCCTAAAATTATTTCTGTTGCTGCTTCGTAAGTGTAATTTTGCTACTGTCATGAATCATAATGTAAAATATCTGATATTTCCAACGGTCTTAGGCGACTCCTGTGAAAGGGGTGTATGACCCCTGTCCTGAAGGAACATGATCCATAGATTTTGAGAACCACTGGTCTAGAGAGTAGGCTTGTCCCTTCTTACATTCTTGTTTTGCACTCCTGTATATCTTTTATCCTTTTTTGTTATTTTTTGAGTCAGAGTCTCAGGATTTAGTCCTGAATGGCCTGGTAAAACTCACTATGTAGACCAAGCTGGCCTCAAACAAAAATCCACATGCTTCTGCTTCCTGAGTGCTGGGATTAAGGATGTGCATCACCATACCTGGCCCAAACTCTGTTCATCTTTATGGGGTACATTATAGCAATTCAATGTCTCTATAGCAATGTGTATTCATCAGAGTAATAGGAATGTCTATCTCTCATTTCTATCTAACCATTATTGATGTAGCCTGAGAATTTCATACTCTTCTAGTCACTTTGAACATATCAGGATGTTTCAAATAATAATTACCCTACTGTGTTAAAGGAGAATCAGAATTAATTTCCCCTTCTTTATTTTTTATTACGTCTTATTCAAGTTTTTCTGTACCCATTCCCCCCTATTTTCTACAAGGCTGATGTTGTGTTTTGGTTTCACAAATCAGCCCCTGTCCTTCTCCCAAATGATACCTCAATCTCTACATGTTTGACCCTGGCCCCAATATCTACTAGCTGTGCAAATAAGGGTAAATCATGTAACTATGTTTTCAATCCTATCACATAAAAACAGTAAGCACATCACCAGGTTGTTGTGAAGATGAAGTGATTTATTACATGCATAAGGCTTAGAGGAGTAGTCACTAATGTTAACTACCATTGTTATCACTGTTCCCCTTCTACTGCTTTATCATAGAACCCATCCCAGAACTGTTTCTCCCCCCCCCCTCTCTCTCTCTCTCTCTCTCTCGTGTGTGTGCGTGTGTGCACAGATATAAGCATCTATATATGAACATATGGAGGTCAGAGATCAACACTGAGTATCTTCCTATTTTTGTCTTCTTTTTTTTTTTTTTTTTTTTTTTTTGAGACAGTGTCTCTTACTGAACCTGGAGCTTACTGACTGACTAGACCAGCTGACCATCAAGCCCCTAAGTTGTTCATATCTCCACTGCCCCAGCACTAACATTAAAGGTATGTATCAATTTTTTATGTAAGTGCTGGTGACCTACACTTGAGCCCTCATGTTTTTACAGTAAGCTCTTACCAATTAAGCCACCTCCTAGTACTTCCAAATACCTACCAAACACAAGTCACAATAAAGGAAGTTATTTATAACAATAATTCCAGTTGTAACAAGTTTTAATAAACTGTTTTTTGCTGAAAAACATTGGCTCTTCATCTGGATCTGGACTTAAGGCTCACTTCACAACAACATAACAGTGACTAAGGCAAGCATAATTCCTTACAGTATTCTAAATCTTATCCTTATACCCATAGGTAAGTGTAGTTACCATCCCTCATCCAAGAAGCCTCTCTCTATATAAAGCAAACAGAGATCATTACAGAAAACCTCAATTAGGCATGATGCTGATATCAATAGATCATTGGGAGCCCAGTCTCAAAAGATATATCTATATCAAATCTCTCCTAGAAATAGCTGCATAAATAAGATCAGAAAAATGGCAATCGTTAAAAATTATAGACAAGTTAACTGAAAGGGGTAAAATTTTTCAGGGTCTACTCCTGGATGAAGAACTGTAGGCCACTCCCAAGGCTGAACCCCCTTATCAACTGTCCAAAGCAGTCTGGTCAGCCCTGAAACCAGACACATGCAAACAACAAAAATTGACTCAGTTCAGAGAGAGTGAGTGTGTGTGTGTGTGTGTGTGTCAATTTGAGACATGTGGGATGAGAGTTCAAGAAAGGAGCTGGAAGGAGGAAAGGAAGAGGCAAAAGTAATATAATTTTATTTCAATTAAAACATATTTGGGTGGTGGTGATGCATGCCTTTAATTCCAGCACTTGGGAGGCAGAAGCAGGTGGATCTCTGAGTTTGAGACAGCCTGTCTACAGGGCTAGTTCCAGGACAGCTGGGGTCTGTTACATAACAGGGAGAAAAAAATTTCTGAGGCTATCTTGCAATACCAGAACTGAAACCATGATCAATAATCAACCAGCCAGGCTATGGCTTGACTCCATTATACATTCCTCCTGCCTCAGTTCCTCCTCTGTTTAAACCTAAAGCTCATGTCATTATACAGATGGCCTGAAATGCTTAATCTACATCTTCCTCAAACTTCTATTTTTGTGGCTGGGCAGTGGGGGTGCATGCCTTTAATTCCAGCACTCCAGAAGCAGGCTGATCTCTGTAAGTTCGAAGCTAGCCTGATCTATATAGAGCAAGCTCCAGGACATCTGAAGCTGTACAAAGAAAACCTGTTTCAAAAACAAAAGAAAAAAAAAAAATGCTTCTTTGGTGGCAAGTGGTTAGATCTAAAATGGGATACATCTTCCACCTGTGTTAGGCCTTTGGCATGGAACTCTACTTGTATTAATATGGCAATACACTAAACTTATGTACATGTGGTGGACAGACAAATAAACAAGCAAAACACCCATTAACATTTTTTTAAAGAGCAAAACCCCAGAAAACTAGAGAATCGTGATGTGATTTTAAAAAAAAAAAGCCCCACAAACTAAGAAGAAATGTATAAGAAGAGTCCCTAAGGTGCACACTAAAACAGAAAAAATTTGGGTAGGCACAGTCCTTGAGGTAGATATATGTGGGTCTAAGGTCAGTCAGTATGCAAATAAAGTTCTGGGCCAGCCACTACTGCATAGAGAGACACCGGACTGTGTGGATGTAGATGAATCTAACTAACTAATGTACAATAAAAATAAACAAACAGGTGTAGAGAGATGACTCAGTGATTAAGAATACTGGCTGCTCTTCCAGAGGACCTGGGTTCAATTCCCAGCACCCATATGGCAGTTTACACATGTCTGTAACTTCAGTTCCAGGAGATCTGACACCTTCACACCAATACACATAAAATAAATTATAAAAAAACAAATTAGTAAATGGATTTGTTTTTTAAGAAGGAATAAAAACTAAGATATAAAAACTTTTAGGAAAAAATGTTAGTTCAAATTAGGCAAATAAAACAAAATTAAATTCTTTAAATAAATTTTCTAAGAGGTTTGTTATTTCTTCTTAATCTAAAAAAAAAAATACAAAAGAGAAACATTTGTAAAAAATTAAAATCTTTTATGTATTTGTTATATCTTATCCAAAACAGTTTTAAAAAGAGCTATGTATTTCATGTTACTTACAAAAATCTTTATTAGAAAGAAGAAACCATACCTCTTTGAAGAATCTATTTAAGATGGATAGCCCAAACTCTCTTTGCTCCTCTTCAATAGTAACTTCATACTCTGCCTGATTAGAGATATTAGGAAAAAGAGAAAAGTTAGTGATGTTACTCACCAACAGTATTTCTGACATGACACCCTCAGAACCAGAGAACAGTTCTATGGATTAAATGTAAATACTTGTCCAAGAATGTAAGGATAATACTGGAGTTAAAATGTTAAGGAGAGCAGGTGTGGTGGCACATGCCTTTAAACCACCATTTGGGAGGCAGAGGCAGGCTGATTTCTGTGAGTTCAAGGCCAGCCTGGTCCACAGAGTGGATTCCAGGACAGCCAGGGCTGCCACACAAAGAAACCCCATCTGAAAAAAAAAAAAGGTCAGTGAGGGTGGATGTGGGGTATGTTAATCTTCATTGTCAACTTCAGTGGATTTAGATTCACCATGGAAACATATCCCTAGATATTTCCACAAAGGTATTTCTAGAAAGGATCAACTGAGCAAGAGATATTGACTCTAAAATGTGGATAGTGCACTAGTCCATAACCTTCAAAACAGGGCTACCATATGGTTAACAGTTAAGTATACTTACTACTCTTGCTGAGAAGTTCTCAGAACCTGCATGGTGGGTAGCTCCCAATAACCTGCAACTCCAGTTCCAAAGGATCCAACATCATTTTCTGGTACCAGAAGCACCAGGCATACATATGGCACACATCTACACAAACATGCAAGTTCTCATACATAAAAGAAAATATGTTTTAAAGAAGAAAGCAAGATGGAGAGCAGCATTCATCTCTTACTGCTTTCACAGTCGTCAGGAGCCAGGAATTGTACACGCCTTTAACCTCAGCAATCAGGAGTTGGAGGCAGGATTGCTGCAAGTTCAAGGCCAGGCCAAGATCACTGTGAGAGCCCTGACCTACAAAATGAGATCAGGACCAGCTTGGTTACAAAGTGAGACCCTATCTCAAAAAGAGAGGGAAGGGGAGAAGGAGGAAAATATGACATCAAGACAACTACCAACTTTGCCAAGTCTAGTTTTTAGTATTCAAAAGCACAAAATCAGATAGTGAAACACTGAGATGAATAACTCACCACTGCATCCAAGAATTCAACGCATCTCTTTAGATCTGGTTTTGTATCACAGAATTGTCTGAAAAGAAGTCTTCCTATTGGCTGCTTGTCACAAAGGCTATTAAAATCCTTTTCTGGGGAAAGAGGAGAAATAAACATAGTAGTTACTATATACTAAGTTCTATTCTTAATCTACTTTCTGTTTTCATTTAATATAGTAAAAGTCAAAAATATTATTTTTATTATTATTTCTAAACTTCTGCTCTATTTACTAATTGAAACTGAGTTATTATACATTTAAAAGACTCAAGCAGGGGCTGGGAGATATCTGAGTTGGTAATGTGCTTCCTACAGAAGCATGAGGACCTGAGTTCACATATGAAGCACCCACATAAAAGGCATGGTGGGGTGTCCCTGTAATCCCAGGGCTGAAGAGGTGAAGACAGGCAGAGTCCAGGGACTCAATGGCCAGAAAGTCTAGCTGAATTGCCAAGTTCCAGGTTCAGTGAGAGAGACTGTCTCAAAAAATAAGGTGGAAAATGATCAAGGAAGACACATAACGTTGTCTAGCCTATGCATGCACATACACAAAGGTGTATAGACACACACACAAGTATAAAAAAAATACAAATAAATAAAAACAAAATTAAGTGAATTGATTGTGGTGGCATATGCTTACAATCACAGCATTCTGGAGGCTGAGGCAGAAGGGCTGTACACTCAAGACCAGCCGGGGTTACATGGTAAGATCCTATCTCAAAAAACAAAACCAACCAACCAAGTAACCAATACTAAGGTAAACCCCAAAACAACTAGAATTAGTAAGAATTTCCAAAGTCTAACTTGAAATAGGCTAAGACAGGAGTATAAAGGGAACTTTTTACTATTTCATCCAGCCTAGATATCTAGAATAAATTGCATATGCAGCAATGTACTAAATCAGAATTTTTAAAAACTCCGTCTTGATACTTTTTATACTTGCAAACAACATTTAAATTATTTGTGCTTATTGATCTGTTTGGTATTTTTGTGCTTAATGATTTTTAACTTCCTATTTGCTTCTTTTTTCCTTTCCATAGAAAATATTGTATCCCTTGCCTCTCCTTACCTTAGTGACACTGTTCTGAGAATAAGGACCTAATGTTCCAGCATTGTGTCAAGAAGAATATAAAACAAGATTCCAGGTAGCTCGCCAGGTGGTGGTGGTACATGTCTTTAATCCCAGCACTAAGGAGGCAGAGGCAGGCAATCTCTGTAAGTCTGAGGCCAACTTGTGCTACAGAATGAATTCCAGAACAGCCAGGGGTACTGAAAGAAATCAAATCCCAAACTCCACTCCCCCAAAAAAATATCTAAAACAAAAGTATTGTTTATAACAAGTCAACCTTCAGCAAGAAAGCAATGTTCAGCAGCAGGGGAAGGCAAATAAGAGCAAAGTCTAATGGTATATGTGGATTTAAATGCAACTGTGAAACCCATTACTTTGTTTTGTTTGTGTTTGTTTTGTTATGAGACAGGGTCTCATTATGTAGACCTTGCTGGCCTACAACTTCCTATGTAAACCAGGCTGTCTTGGAACACACAGAGATCCACCTGCTTCTGCCTCTGCCTCCAGAATGCTGGGATTAAATATGAGTACTACTGCACAAGCCCATTACTTTGTATGCTAATTAAAAACAAAAGGAGAGGGAACAGAAGGGAGACAGGAGGGAAGGAGGCCAGTTTCTCTCCTACCAGTGGCTACATGTGTTGGTTTTTGTCAATACAAACCTTCCTAGACATATCTAGGAAAAGGGAATTTTTTTCTTTAGATTTATTTTATATATATGAATATTTGAAAGTCAGAAGAGAATACTGAATCCCCTGAAATTGGACTTAAGGATGTTTGTAAGCCACAGTGTGAGTGCTGGGAATTGAACCCAGATTCTCTGTAAGAGCATCCTGCACTCATTACTACTGAGCTATCTCTCCAGTCTCCATAAAATTGGCCTGTAGGTAAGTCTTGATTGATGATTGACATGGGTGGGCCCAGATCATTGTGGATGGTTCCACCCCTGGGGAGGTGGTCCTGAGGGTTATATGAAAGCAAACTGAGCAAGTCATAGGAAGCAAGCCAGTAAGTGCTTTCCTCCATGGCCTTCGCTTCAGTTTTTATCTCCAGGTTCCTACCCTGAGGTCCTGCTTCGACTTCTCTTGGTGATGAAATATAACCTAAGAGTTCTAAACTTAAATAAATCCTTTCCTACCCAAGTTGCTTTTGGTCATGGTATTTTCACAACGGTGAACTAAGACAGTGGCTGTCATCTTGAAATGAGAGAATATAGCTGGTTTCTAAAAGTAACTCCAAAGCCGAAGAATTACAGTAAGTGAGCAAACCATAACAACTCCATCCATTAAAGAATTTATTAATATCAAGTAATTCTGGGAGTCTAAGCCATTCCTTTTAGATCACTAGGTTTAAATATGGAAATGTCTAGGCAAGGAAGCTAGAGATTGAGTTCAGTAGACAGAATCCTTATGTAACATACACAATGCCCTTGGGTTCAATCCTTAGCTTCATATATACCATGATATATAGCGTGAATGGCAGTACATGCCCAAAATCTTAGCACTTGGAAGGTAAAAGCAAGATCAGAAGATCAAGGTAATCCTTGACTATGTAGCAAATTCAAGTCCAGCCTAGCCTACATAAATGTATCAAAAAATATACCTAAATGAATAAAGCATTTAACGGTGCAATTTATTTATTTATTTATTTTTGTAAGTCACCACTGACCAGTGACTTAATTCTCTAAGATTAGAAGGTTGGATCAAAGAGGGACTCTGTCTCTACCTACAGGAGATAAACTCAAAGATACCCAGAATGCCCAAGCCCAGAGGACCTGGCAGATATTCTGTTGAGATGCAGGCTACTGCTTCCTCTTCACTCTCCTTATTTTCCCGATACTGTCTGTAGTTGGTATTAACAAAGAGGACAAAATCATCTTTAGAACCACTCTTCTGACAACTGAGTCCTAGCTGAGTCTGTTCCTGTTGTAGTTGTTTCTCAGCCACAACACTCTAACATCAGAGTTCTTCTGCTGTGCAGAAAACAGATCTGACTCTTCAGTTTCCCTCAATGGGTCAACCATGAAAAAGGTTTCTCTTTAGTCTAAATGTTCTTGAAGTATTTGGAGGGCACTGTCTCTGCCTCATGCAGATTGTATTCTGAGGTCAGAGCACTTTGACCATTTTATATTTCACATTTCCCCTAGGAGGACACCACGTGTTCCCCTAATACTTTAACACATGCTTCCTTTAACACATTTTCTCTTAGTAACCCAACATGCTATCCAGGATGGTAAGAACGTAGAGATTGTCATCTTTTCCTCCTGAGTTATTCGGACAGCAGTATCATGAGCCAGGAATGCTTTGAAAATGGACAGCCCTGGATCTCTGGCCTTCAAGTTCCATGAAGCAGATAAACCAGGAAAAAAAAAAAAAGAGCCCAGAAATGGGACTTGGACTTGGATCCAATTTCTAGCACTCACACTGTGGTTCACAATAGCCTGCAACTTCAGATCCAGGAGATCTAACACCTTCTTTTGGCCACCACAGGCATTTTTTGGCCACCACAGGCATTGCACTCACATGTACAAAGTTAAACACAGACATTGTTTAAAAATATAATTTAATTTGTTTTTAATTTAGGTGTATGGGTGCTTTGCCTGCATATATGTCTGTGCACATGTGCACATGGCTTGGAGGAGGCCAGAAGAAGGTATCTGAATCTGGAGCTGCAGACAAGTGTGCGCAGCCATGTGGATGTTGGGAACCAAACATGGGTCCTCTGCAAGAGCAGCAAGAACTCTTAACCACCAAGCCAACTCTGTAGCCTCCACATATACTAACTTTTATTAATTAAAAAAAAGTCAGCAATCATCTTTCATAGCTACACTCTAGAAGACCTAAAGTCTCTCCTACACACAAAAGACTAATGAAGTTATATGGGAAACTTATCAGAAAAATTTTGAAGCAAACATAGAACTGAAGAACTAATAACATCAAAGTAAGGATGTAATGTCAGATACCCTCCAGACATAAGAGGCACCACTTACTCACCGATGGAATCTCTTAGCTCACAGCACAGGCTGACTGGGGGCAACTTCAGGATCTCTCTCCACTTTCTACTACGACCACTCTTTTTGTTAAGTCCTGCTAAATTTGAAAAGATAAGGATTTAGATTAAAAATTGGGTTTTGTTTTTGAGGCAGACTCTCACTATGTAGTCCAGATAGGCCTTGAGTTCTGGACCCTTCTGCATTAATTTCCTTCATGCTGAGGTTACACAGCGATGGTATCACACCTAGACCCTCCCCAAAATTCTTTTTGTTTGTTCCTTTATTAAAATATCATTAATCAATATGGTATTCACAATAGACAATATTTTTTTTCATGGTCAAAAATATTTTATTGTAAATATTACTATCTTTAATCTATCTTACTATTTGAGTAGATACATTAATATGAATGAAGTATAATAATTTGTCTCAACTAGGTATTAATTTAATTAAGTATAAAATTTCTCAGTTTCCATTTCCAAAATTTATAAACTAGATCGAACATGACACTATACAGTGCTACTTATAAACACTGGTTCAGCAGATATTTATATTTACTTTTAAACAAATATTTATTAAGCACCTACCATGTGTCAAATACCTTAAAAGCACTGGGAATGCAATGGTCAATTAGAAAACAAAACAAAAAAAAATGAGACAAAGGGTTCAGTAGTTAAAGATGCATACTTCTCTTGTATAGAACATGAGTTTTACTTCCAGCACCCACATTTGGTAGCACACAACTGCCTGTAACCCAAATCTAGGAAATGCAACATCTTCTTCTGACCTCTATAGACACTCCATTCCACATGCACAGACATGGTGGGGTAGGCAGTGGGAGGTAGAGACAGGCAGACACATATACATAGTAACTTTATTTTAAATCTCTTTAAGAAAAGAAAAGTACATAGGCTGGGTGGTGGAAGCTCATGCCTTTAATCCCAGCACTCAGGAGGCAGAGGCAGGTGGGTCTCTGTGAGTTCGAGGCTAGCATAGTCTACAGAGTGAGTTCCAGGAAAAGTTCCAAAGCAATACAGAGAGACCCTATCTCGAAAAACCAAAACCATACAAAATAAACAAAAAAGTATAGTCTGGTATGTATGGAAATAGAATTCAGTGATAAGAGCACATATATGTATGGAGGCCTGTGTTCCATCCCCAAAAACAAAACCAAAGACACACACACACACACACACACACACACACACACACACACATATATATATATATGTATATATATGTACATGTGTATATATGTATATATATGCATATATATATTTTTTTAATTTTAGATGAATTTTATTTATATGTGTGTCAGTGTTTTGCCCAAATTTATATGTGTACCATGGGCATGCCTGGCATCCATGGACATCAGAAGAGGATGTCAGATCATCTGGAACTTGAATTATGGAAGGTTATGAGCCACCATGTGGGTGCTAGGAACCAAATCTAGGTTCTCTGCAAAAGAAATAAATGCTCTTAACTACAGAGTCATCTCTGTAGCCCCCTCCTCTATATAGTAAGTAAGGGAGGGAAGATTAATAAGCTACACAATTAAGTGATTAGAAAAAATTAGTAAATAATTAGTCAATAAATTTCAATCAACAGTATGAAATAAAATCAAAGGAAAAAGGTGGAAGATGCTGTTGTGACTAGGTAGCATTGAAGGAGACCTCCCTGCAAGGATCACATGCAGACACACTTGAAGAATGTGAGGCAAGAGCCTCTGGAAGACTGGGGAAAAGGGTTGTGATGGCTAGTTTTAAATGAAAGGAGGGAACTTCTCATTAAGAAAATGCCTCCATAAGATCAAACTGTAGGCAAGCCTATAGGGCATTTTAAATTAGTAATTGATGGAAGAGAACACAGCTCATTATGGGTAGGGCTACCCCTGGCCTAATGGTCCTAGGTTCTAAAAAAAAAAAAAAGGCAGGCTGAGCAAGCTATGAGGAGCAAGCCAGTAAGCAGCACCCCTCCATGGCCTCTGCATCAACTCCTGCCTCCAGGTTCTGACTTCCCTCAGTAATGGATTCTTACCTGAAAGTATAAGCCGAAATAAACTCCTCCCCACGCTGCTTTGATCATTGTCTCAGAGTTTCTACTGGTGTGAAGAGACACCAAAGCAACTCTTATTTAAAAAAAAAAAAAAATTAAGTTAAATTGGGGCTGGCTTACAATTCCAAAGGTTTAGTCACTATCATCATTGTGAGACATAGCAGCATGCAGACAGACATGGGGCTGGAGAAGGACCTGAAAGTTCTACATCTTGATCTGCAGGCATCAGGAGACTGTGTGCCACTTTGGGTATAGCTTGAGCATATATGAGTCCTCAAAGCCTACCTCCACAGTGACACACTTACCCCAACAGGGCCACACCTTCTAACAGTGCCTCTCCCTGTGGGCCAAGCACTCAAACACATCAATCTATGGGGGTCCTAACTATTCAAGCCACCAGTCATGGTGCTTCATCACAGCAATAATAACCTAACTAGAACAGAAGCTGGTACCAGACCAGTGTGGTATTGCTGTGACCTGACCATGTTGTTTTTGGGAGAATTGTAGAAGTAACTTTTGAACTTTAGGCTAGAAAAGCCATTGAATGTTAGGAGTTCAATGAGCAGTTCTGTAGGAGCTTGGAAGATAGGAATGTTGAAAGCAATACCAACAATAGAGCCTGGTTCTTGTGGGTTGTCTAAATACCTAAAGCATTATCTAATCTCTGCAGTTTTATTATAAAGTCTAGTGTAATATTCCCCTTTCTTGAACACTATACCCAAATAATTTGAAGGTAGAAAGGGAAGGGAAAAAAGTAGTCGAACAGATTTGATTCCCATTAAGGATCCCCTTCCAGGACCCATTGGACATAAATGAACTTGTAATGGAGCTAAAAACATTTTTTTAAAGAAACAAAAAGATCAAAATCTTCTCTCTGTTACTCACTAGGTTTTTTTTTCTCGAAGAATGTGGTCAACATTCTGCTACATGAATACATTGAAGTTTCTTAATAGTATCTTACTTCCCAGGCACCTTTCCCCGGGCAATCCAAAAACCCTAAGAAATGAGTATACATTTCCTACCTTTCCATACTCTTTCAAATTAGCAGCGCAGAGGATGGGACAGTACTCAGCCCTTAGTGTATGTTAGGCAAGCGCTACTGTTTCAAAACGCGTTTGCTGACACTGGCAAAGCAGCAGCACCAAGCCAGGTCTCACCGAGTTCAGGATTCCCCGAAGGACTGCAGTTCCTAAGAGGAGACGGGGCGCTTGGAGGTGCACCTACCTTGACGAGCCTTCAGCAGCAGAGTGTTGGCCACTAGGTTCTCGAGTTCCATGGTCCGTCGTCTGCGTCTCCGACGCCGTGGTGGCGGTGGCGGTGGCGGTCGAACTTTTCGGAGTGTGGGCAACGGAGACGGGGAAGGCTGGCGGGAAGGAGACCCGAGAGCCGCAGCCGCAGTCGCAGGCTCCGCGCATACCTCGTCCGGCTGGAGACAGGGCTTCTGGATGCTGGCCGACCGCGATCGCGGCCGCTTCCGCCGCTTCTTCTTCTTCCGCCTCTTCGGGCGTCGCCACCACTGCCACCAGGGGCGCCGACGCCTCCGTCGCCGTCGCCGTCGCCGTCGGCGTTTAGGAAGACCCGGGGAAGACTCGCCACGGGCTCCAGCTATGTTTTTCTTCAGGCGATGGGTCTCCGCTATGGGCGCCTGCGCGCGGTCGCTCGAACTCCTCCTAGCATCATCGCCCGAGCCCAGGGCGCGTAACTCTCCCCTCAGCGCCGGGTCCTGGGGCGGCACTGAGCCTCCGCCGCACCCAACCCGACGGGGAAGTTCGCTAACGGGAGAGCCGTCTCTGGCGGCGACGGCTACAGCAGCCGCCGCCGCCGCGGCTGCCAGATAACTCGCACGGCAGCCCGGCCCCGGCTAACGGCTTTCCTCCAGAGGGAGCCCGAGAGCCCCCCTCCGGGCGGCGCCTGAGCGGACTGCGGCAGCTCACGAGACACTACAGATCCCATAAAGCCCAGCGCCAGGAAGTCTGGAAGTGTTGCCTCCTGGGAGTTGTAGTCTTTATCACAACAAAAGCCTGTTCCGCGTCCATCAGGACTTGAGTACTTCTCGCGTGGTACAGAGAGTGACGTAGTTATCGTGAGACGAGGCTGGGCGGGGTCTCGTAGCCTCAGCACACGTTTCTTGAGGCCATCTGCTGATGCTCCGAGGATCTGAAGCACTGCTTTATCAAGTGTGGCAGAGTGAATGTCATGGGGAAGGCGAAGCGGTCTGGGGCGCGGAAGCAGGTTCACAAAGCGCCCGCAGGGTCGTTCGGAGGCCCGGCGAAGGCTAACCCAAACCCGTTTGAGGTGAAAGTCAACAGGCAGAAGTTCCAGGTCCTCGGCAGGAAGACGCGACACGATGTGGGGCTGCCCGGAGTGTCCCGCGCCCGAGCCATCCGGAAGGTAAGGGTAACCCAGGATCTGGCTTCCCCAATGGCTAGTTGCGTATCTCTTGGAGACTGTCTTAGTAAGGGTTACTATTGCTTGCGATGATGAAACACCTAATAGTTTTGACTTTCTAATTATGTTTGGAAACTGAGGCACAACTAGAAAGTGATGGTTTTGGGACTCTTCGTTGTAGTACTACAGTGCAGTGCTACTTCAAAGCGCTCTTCGAGATTGCCTGAACAAAGTAACTATCTCCTCTTACTAATATAGCCACTGTGGGTGGAGAGATTAAGAACTTTGCCAAGTCCTGGGAAGTAGCAAAGTTGGTGGCATTTGGTGATCACACGTTGAACCTACCCGGCCTTTGTGAGGACAGGACAGGTGCAGGATCTCTTATCTACTGGAACTCAGCCCCTATAGTTAGTGACTGTGTCTGGATGAGACACTACCCCCCTTTCCTAATTTCTCCATACCCCCCTGGTCTTAGTGTGACAAGGTCAGTATACCTAGATAACCCTGAAAACAATACAGAAGCACTGAAATCTAGAGTCAGGTTACAGGTTTCAGTTGGCTACAAGATAATCTCATTAGTTGTGGATGTATGAAGCCACTGAATTGGGTCATTACAATGGCCTTTTTGTTATTTGATGACACTACACTAATACTACTTTTGGCATTGGTTGATGTATAAATGCTCTCAAATGACAGTCTGTTGGGAAATGTAAAATTTTCTGCAAAAAACTTGGTATGGTGGCACACGCCTGTAGAGAAGGTACAGGAGAATCAAAAATTGAGGCAGTCCTTGCCCCACGAAATCCCAGGGCAGTGTGGGCTATGAGGCTATGTTGTTTTGGTTTGTTTTTTAGCTCAGGTCTCTTGAGGCCATGCCATTCCTTGCTCCCCCAGCCTTGCCTTGCCTTAGGGTATTCAACCTTAGGGCTGAATAATACTGAATATGTTTATTACCGCTATTAGAAGGATTATCTCCCCCCCCCCCAAAAAAAAAGAAGGCTACCCAGTTTACAGGAACTTGTTATGTTCTGTGCTTAGACTATCAAGAACAATGGTATTTTAAGGTGTAAGAGTGGACTGTGCTCTGACCTGATAAACTCACTTGTGATATACTTTCATATATGAAAGCACGACTATACAGACTCTGGGATATGTTCACTGAGAAGTAAACTTCTTCCTCCCTGTGGAAGAGATCTAAATATGTTCCCAAGTAAATTGTGCCTACAGCAAACATTCCCAAATTGTAACGCAGCATCTGCAACTTTCAGCACTGACAAGTAGATTACAAAAAGGAGATTGATTTGCCTGTCAGTTGATTTTTCTCTTTTCAAAATTCTATCACCACAAGGGAAGCCTGTCATTGATGTAAAGATGTTATGAACTTCAGTATAATACTGTACAGCTCACAACATCATAGCCCCTTCTGGTAGCCTCTTCCGTTAATATTATCGCAGCTTTGTGTGATACTTAATTACGTGTGACCTGTTTTTCAGCGAACACAGACTTTACTAAAGGAGTACAAAGAAAGGAACAAGTCCAATGTATTTACAGATAAACGCTTTGGGGAGTATAATAGCAACATAAGTCCAGAGGAAAAGATGATGAAGAGGTTTGCTCTGGAGCAACAGGTATGGGGGAAATGGGGGAAGGGTAGTGTAAATTTTACACAGGGCAATCCAAGGAAAGGGGTGTTTCTCTGTAACCAGCTTTTTATCAGCCACCACACAGAGGTTTCTTATTAGTTATGAAGGCCTTAGCTTAGGGCTTGACGATATTAACCCAATTATATTAGTCTACAATCTGTCTTGTGGCTTTTTGCCTTTCTTTCATTCTGTGTGTCCATCCCCATGTTGGGTTGGTATCCGGTGCATGCCTAGATTCAGCTCCTACTTCCTTTCTCTGCCCAGAAGTCCCACTTGCACCTCCTGCCTAGCTGCTGGCTGTTCAGCTCTTTATTAAATCAGTCACTGTAATACATCTCCATACAGTGTACAAATGTCCCACATTTCTCCCAGTTCATTTACACCTCTGAGCTGTTTAGAGCCGTGTATAGGGGACGTCTTAGGTGGTGCATCCTATCTGGGTAGACTTAGAGGAAGGCACTTTCAAGAGATACTAGTTAATGAGTAGATAAATACATTAACTCGAGCAAACAGTGAGTAGCGACAGTTACTGGAGTTGCTAGCTCGTGTCCTGCCTTCACCTTTGTCAGATGGAGAACAAGCGAGTGGAGGACCATTGCTGATGGGGATGATTAGCAGGAGCTCAGCCTAGTCCATTGACTTACTTAAGAATTTTCTCTACTAGTTCTGCTTATATTTCAATACTCTTTCAGATGATCTAGAATAATCTTCAGACCAATTTTTGCTGTCATATTTCTCATATAGAGGGAAATAACTAATTTTCTAGGACAGAAATTAATTTTAGGTAACTATTTTAACACCTTTCTGTCAAGCGACATCATGAGAAAAAAAATATCTACAACCTAAATGAAGATGAAGAATTGACTCATTATGGCCAGTCTTTGGCTGACATCGAAAAGCATAATGATATCGTGGATAGTGACGATGATACTGAAGAACGAGGAACATTGTCTGGTAAGTGGGAGATGCCACCACAGAAACCTGGTAGCTTGGAGCAAGGGACAGTGTGTTCAGTATTTGACTTTCTTCAGAAAAGCACCATTGGCTCAGGGCCTTTGTGTAGGAGTCAGGGACGCCTCGTGGACTCTGGTTCCAGTCTATTTTCCTGGATGTGATGGTGTTAAATGAGAACAGATGAACAATAAAAGCTGCATATTGTTTCCTTGGATTACGGCTAGTTAGTGATCTAATGAGTCTGAATGTCCTTAAAGCAGCTAATCTGGCAATTCCTTAAGTGTCATTGTGCCTGTGGCCTCATGCCAGTTGAGAGAATTTTTTCCTTAACTGTAGGATTCTCCAGAGTATTCTTAGAGAGGGCCAGCAAGGTGGCTTATTGGATAAAGGCACTTTCATCCCAACAGTACAAGCTGGAGCACCTGAGATCCCCAAACCCACATAAAGCTAGAATGAGAGAGCTGACACTGCAAAGTTGTCTCAGAAATCTACAAGGTTGCCATTGCACACAATGCCCACACACATCACATATAAACATAAAAATGTTTAAAAGTAACCTTGGAGAAATGTTGACAATCTACCCTAAAATGGTTACAGAGTTAGAGCCTGGGCTACATAATATGCTCTGCTATTTGTTTCCAGCTGAGCTGACTGCTTCCCACTTTGGTGGTGGGGTTCACAAGAATACCTCTCAGAAGGAAGGTGAAGATGGGGATAAGCCAAAGTCACGGAAAGAACTGATTGAAGAGCTCATTGCAAAGTCAAAGCAAGAGAAGGTGAGCTGGTTACTGTTCTTAAAGTAGACAACACCAAAATAGGTCAGACTTCCTTCCCATGTACATGTATTTATCAGCTGTATTTTAACTTTTATCTGAATTTAATGTAAGACTACTCATTTTGAAACGGAATATTCTAGATCTGATTAAGGATATACTTCTGACATGTTTTGTTGGCTTTAGTATTTGCAAAACAGTAGTGATTATTAAGCTTGGAGTGAACTGCTCAGATCATCTGGATATATACTAGCAGGAAAATTATTTTTGTTTGATCTTAGAGATTTACAGTTAAGATATTTGCTTGTGGTCCCTTACTTCATGTTTGGTATTAAGTGGGTCATTGTGTGTTCTTAGCCATTCATGAAGTCTAATAATAATGGTGTATGATGTGTGTTTGCTGGTTTTTTTCCCCAGAGGGAGAGACAGGCTCAACGAGAAGATGCCCTTGAGCTCACAGAGAAGCTAGACCAGGACTGGAAAGAAATCCAGACTCTCCTGTCACGTAAATCTCAGAAGTCAGAAAACAAAGAGAAAAAAGAAAAACCCCAGGTGGGCAGCACCGTTCACAAGAAGCACTACTGAATTTAATGTCTGCTGATCTGACATCTCAGCATCGCTGGTTCTTTCCTGTTAAGGCGGGTTTTAGTCTAAGTTTAAACTTTGTCCACTGAGCCATTTTGCAGGCCTTATTTTTTATTAAAAGTTCTTTTTTTGTTTTGCTTTGTGTGCTCGAGACAGAGTCTGTCCATGTAGCTAGCCTTGGTTGGCCTAGAATTTTGTGTGTAGACAAGCTTGCCTCAGTTTCAGTTTCAGCCTCCTTCTGGGTGGGAATAATGGCACTGTGCCCAGCTTTCAATTAGTTTATCCCATGTTTGTTAAATAGGGTGGAAGTGACCCAAAGTTACCTCTTTCTCTCCTTTAAGTGAATTATAGTGTTTGTCAGGTAAGAAGTACTTTAGGGTAGAAACATGGGAAGTTATACGTCTTTGCACAACCTTATATTCATGTGTAATATGTTTAATATGCACTTGCTTAATTTCTTTTCCTCTAGACAGTGTCACTTTTTACATTTCCCCTAAACTTTTGAAAAATGGTACAATTGTTTAGTAGCAAGATTTCTACCAAAGAAATAGAATTTCACCAGATTATATTGCAGCATGGCATGTATGTATCTTTCTGAATCAGCCATGTAATTGC